AAAAAAAAAAAAAGAGCAAGAATTTAGCAAATGAGAGGCTGGCCAGAACCAATTTACACAGGACCTTGTCAGAATCCACGGAGAAGAATCTGGATTTCATTCTAACAGAATTAGGGAGGGGACTGAGTGTGGTGGCTCACGCCTGTAATCCCAGAACTTTGGGAGACCAATGCAGGTGGATTGCCTGAGTCTGGGAGTTCAAGACCATCCTGGGCAACATAAAATTGTCTCTACAAAAAGTTAAAATACTAGCCAAGTGCAGCGGCACATGCCTTGCTCCCAGCCACTCAAGAGGCTGAGGCAGGAGGATTGCTTGACCCTAGGAGTTTGAGGCTACAGTGCTCTCGTAGCTGGGGCAACAGGGTGAGACTGTTTCTTTCTTTTTTTTTTTTTTTTTTTTTTGGGCCGGGTTTTTCTTTTTTTTTTTTTTTTTTTTGAGACCGAGTCTCTGCTGCTGAGGTTGGAGTGTGTGATCTCGGCTTGCTGCAGCCTCTGCCTCCTGGATTCAAGCAATTCTCCTTCCTCAGCCTCCCAAGTAGCTGGGATTACAGGCACCTGCCACCACAGCCAGCTAATTTTTTGTATTTTTAGTAGAGAAGGGGTTTCACCGTGTTGGCCAGGCTGGTCGCAAACTCCTAACTTTAAGTGATCTGCCTGCCTCGGTCTCCCAAAGTGCTGGGATTACAGGCGTGAGCCACCACACCCAGCTGAGACCCTGTTTGTAAATAAATAAGTAAAATAAAAGAATTGGTACATTCAGCCAGGCACAGCGGCTCATGCCTATAATCCCAGCACTTGGGCAGGCTGAGGCGGGTGAATCACAACGTCTGGAGTTTGAGACCAGCCTGACCAAGATGGTGAAACCCCATCTGTACTAAAAAACACAAAGATTAGCCAAGCGCGGTGGTGGGCACCTGAAATCCCAGCTACTTGGGAGGCTGCGGCAGGAGAGTCACTTGAACCCATGAGGTGGAGGTTGCAGTGAGCCAAGATCACACCACTGCACTCCAGCCTGGGTGACAGAGCAAGACTCCATCTCACACAAACAAATAAATGGTATTGCGGAGACTGAATCTGAGGCAAGGAAGTGACAAGATTGTGCTTTTATTTGACTCAATTTTTTTTTAATTTTTTATTTTTTGTTAGAGATGGAGTTTTATCATGGCCAGGCTGGTCCTGATCTCCTGACCTCATGATCCACCCACCTTGGCCTCCCAAAGTGCTGGGTTTACAGGCGTGAGCCACCGTGCCCAGCCTAACTCAAACTTTAATCAGACCCGTTCCTAACTTTTTCTTCCTTCATACTAATATTTGTATTCCTTTGTTTTCCCATTTACTGCTTATCTTTTCTTCTAGGCTTCAGTGCGCTGTTACATTGTTGATATGATGTAAGTTCACTGTTACATTCCCAACACCTAGAACAGTGCTTGGCTCAAAGTAAGCCTTTAATGGTTATTCCCAGGATGAATGAGTGAATAAGAGTGCCCCTGGAGAATCCTGAAAAATCAGCCAGGCTCACTGCCCTCAAAGACATCAGACTTCCTGGTAACAGACTTTCCAGCCTGAGGGAGTTGCTAATGGAAGGGAGGGAGAGAAGTGGGGCTGGAGTTTAGAGGAGTTTTCTTAGAGGAGTGTAGGCAGAACTAAAGATGGCACACCAAGAAATACACATTTGGTACAAAAATTAGCTGGGCATGGTGTCAGGTGCCCGTAGCCCCAGCTACTCGGGAGGCTGAGGTAGGAGAATCACTTGAGCCCGGGAGGTGGAGGTTGCAGCCAGCCAAGATTGCACCACTGCACTCCATACTGGGCAACAGAAGGGAGACGCCGTCTCAAAAAAAAAAAAGAAATACACATTTGGTCTCTGCCCCCAGTTCTTCTGAAACCCTTGGAACTCGGTTGACAGAGGTGAGAGGAGTATGTCTTTAAAACATTTTTTAAGAAATTCTTTTTCGAGACAGGGCCTCACTGTGTCACTCAGGCTAGACTGCAACGGCACAATCATATCACCACAGCCTTGACATCTCAGGCACCAGAGATCCTCCCACCTCAGCCCAATTAGTAGCTGGGAACGCAGGTGCACACCACCACACCCAGCTTATTTTTGTATTTTGTGTAGGGATGAGGTTTCACCATGTTGCCCAGGCTGATCTTGAATTCCTGGGCCCAATCGATCTGCCTGCCTCGGCCTCCCAAAGTGCTGGAATAACAGGCATGAACCACCACACAAGGCCTTTTGAAAAAATTACTTTTTTTTTTTTTTTTTTTTTGAGACGGAGTCTGGCTCTGTCCCCCAAGCTAGAGTGCAGTGGCATGATCTCGGTCACTCCAGCCTCCACTTCCTGGGTTCGAGTGATTTAGCCCAGCTAAATAGTCGGGCATTGTGGCTCACACCTGTAATCCCAATACTTTGGGAGGCTGAGGTGGGCAGATCACGAGGTCAGGAGGCCAAGATCAGTCTGGCCAATATGGTGAAACCCTGTCTCTACAGAAAATACAAAAACGTCTGGGTGCGGTGGCTCATGCCTGTCATCCCAGCACTTTGGGAGGCCGAGGCGGGTGGATCACTTGAGTTCAGGAGTTCGAGACCAGCCTGACCAACATGGTGAAACCCTGTCTCTACTAAAAAAATATAAAAGTAGCCAGGTGTGGTGGTGCACACCTGTAATCCCAGCTACTTGGGAGGCTGAGGCAGGAGAATCACTTGAGCCCAGGAGGTGGAGGTTGCAGTGAGTCATGATTGTGCCATTGTACTCCAGCCTGGGCAACAAGAGCAAAACTCTGCCTCAAAAAAAACCCCAAAAAACCCCAAAATATTAGCCAGGTGTGGTGGCGCTCACCTATAGTCCCAGCTACTAGGGAGGCCAAAACGGGAGGATTGCTTGAGCCCAGGAGGCAGAGGTTGCAGTGAGTTGAGATGGGGCCACTATACTCCAGCATGGGTGACAGAGACCTTGTCTCAAAAGAAAAAAAAAAAAAAAAAAAAAAAAAAAAAAAAAAAAAAAAACAGAAAAAGAACTTGTTAACTCAGCTGTGAGACGACACTGCAACTCACCAAGCATCCCACCAAACCTTCAGTTTACCTAATGTGGTACAGCAGCTAAGGGCGAAACCCTGGTGCCTGCATGGTTTCAAATCTTGCCTCCACCACTCTCTAGCCATGCGACCATTGCAAGTGACTGCGCCTTAGTGAGCCTCAGTCTCTCAAATGTGAGCTAACCAGAGCACCCACCTCCACAGTGGTGCCTGCTACATGTAAGTGTGCAGCACATACTAGGGATGGTGCATGTCACCGTCTTGCCTGGGGAATGCCTTCCTCCCTCCCTCCCTTCCTTCTTTCCTTCCCTTTTTTCTCTCCCTTTCTTTTCTTTCTTTCTCTGTATTTTTTTTCCTTTTTTTTTTTTTTTTTTTTTTTTTTTTTTTTTTTTTTTTTTTTGGACAGGCTTTCACTCTGTTACCCAGGCTGGAGTACAACGCAGTAGCACAATCACCGCTCACTGCAACCTCAGCTCCCCTGGGCTCGAGCGACCCTCCTGCCTCAGCCTCCCAAACAGCTGGGACCACAGGCGTGTGCCACCATGCTCAGATAAACAGTGTCAATTTCTGGAATGGATGAAGAGAAGACCAAGATATTGTGTGTGTGTGCCTGTGTGTCTGTGTGTCTGTGAAAGAGAGAGAGAGAGTGTGTGTGTGTGTGTGTGTGTGTGTGTGTGTCTGTGTGTGTCTGTGTCTGTGAAAGAGAGAGAGAGAGAGGAGCTGAGAGAGGGCTGGAAATGCAAGCTCACAGGCAGGAACGGAGCCTGGCTGGTTCACAGCTGTATTCCCGGTGCATGGTATTGTAGTAGGTGCTCAGTAAAATGCTGACTGAATGAATGAATGTGAGAAGCATGAGCCTTTCCCCACTAGGAATTCCCTGAAATGCTGGATGTCAGGCTGAGTATTCCCATTCATGGAATGAGAATCAGGTGCTCCTAATTTCAAAGGGTCAGCCCAGGGGCGCTCTGGTGGTCATGGCAAGGACCACACATCCCACCAGCCTCAGGGTCAGAGGGCTCTTCCCCAACCATCTTATCTGCCTCTCTGTCCCATCTCCCCACAGTCTGCTGCTCTGACACCCTTCCCCATGCAGTTCCCACTCCCTGGCAGTGCCCTCCTCTTCACCCTTCAAGGCCAGCTGGAATGTGCCCTGCTCTGAGAGCCCCACCAGGATTTCACCTCACAGTTCTTGAACACATCTCACTGTAGCCACATATTCTGTATTACAGTTATCGGATCTGTGTTGGTTTTCCCCGCGGGACTGGGAGCACCATGGGGGTAGGAACGACCCAGGTCATTCACCTCGTGTCCCCAGCAATGCCTAGCATCAGGCTGTGCACAAACAGGTGAGTGAATAAAGAAATGAACAAGGGCTGGATGCAGTGGCTCAAGCCTGTAATCCCAGTACCTTGGGAGGCCGAGGCAGGTGGATCACAAGGTCAGGAGATTGAGACCATCCTGGCCAACATGGTGAAACCCCGTCTCTACTAAAATACAAAAAATTAGCCGTGCGTGGTGGCACATGCCTGCAGTCACAGCTACTCGGGAAGCTGAGATGGGGAATCTCTTGAATCCAGGCGACAGAGGTTGGCGACAGAGCAAGACTCCGTTTCAAAAAAAAGAAATAGACAAATGCATGACCTTCATCCCTCAGGTGTTTGGAGGTTTCTGGATGTCCTGGGGCCTCTTTCTGCCCTCTGATCCCTGACAGGCCCTAATTTCCAAAATCAGCCCCCAGCCCACTCTCTCCAGCCAGCCCCACCCTGACACCTACGGGCCACCTTTTCGGCATGGCTCAGCTGGGTCCAGCTTCCCTTCTCCTTCTCCTTCAGGGCCTGCTGCTCAGCATTGAGATCTGAGCAGAAGGGCTCTTCTGGCATGGGGTAGGAGCGCTCGGCATACCAGTTGGCATAGGGGGGCATCTTCCCCTCACCACGGGCTGCAGACACAAAGAAGGGAGCTGAGTCCAGGCTGCCCCTGGGACACCCTATCTCTAACCATATTAATAAAGAAGGCATTTATTGAGCACCTACTTGTGCCAGGAGTCATTTCATTCTAAGATGAGTGGACTCATTTACTCCACGTCACTTGGAGCCAGGTGATATTTTTATCTCCATTTTACAGATGAAGAAACTGAGTAGCCCAGCCTGGCCACCATGGTGAGACCCTGTCTCTACTAAAAATACAAAAATTTGCCTGTAATCCCAGCTTCTCAGGAGGCAGAGGCAGGAGAATCGCTTGAACCCAGGAGGCAGAGGCTGCAGGGAGCCAAAATGATGCCATTGCACTCCAGCCTGGGGACAGAGTGAGACTCCATCTCAAAAAAAAAAAAAAAAAAGAAAGAAAGAAACAGAGCAGTTAAGTGACTTGCTGAAAATCACAGAGCAAGAATGAGCAGGCCGGCACAGTGGCTCACGCCTGTGATCCCAGCACTTCGGGAGGCTGAGGTGGGCAGATCCCTTGGGCCCAGGAGTTCAAGACCAGCCTGGGCAACATGGGGAGACCCTACATCTACAAAGTTTTAAAAAATAAGCTGGGCATGGTGGCACTTGCCTACAGTTCCAGCTACTGAGGAGGCTGAGGTGGAAGGCTTGCCTGAGCCCAGTAGCCAAGCTGTGATGGTGCCACAGCCCTCCAGCCTGGGCAATAGAGTGAGACTCTGTCTAAAAAAAAAAAAAAAAAAAAAGAGCTGGGCTCAGTGGCTTAAGCTTGTAATTCCAGCACTTTGGGAGGCCAAAGTGGGCGGATCACGAGGTCAGGAGTTTGAGACCAGCCTGTCCAATATGATGAAACCCTGTTTCTACTAAAAAACACAAAAATTAGCTGGGCGTGTTGGTGCACCATGCCTACAGTCCCAGCTACTCGGGAGGCTAAGGCGGAGGAATCACTTGAACCCGGGAGGCAGAGGTTGCAGTGAGCTGAGATCGTGCCACTGCACTCCAGCCTGGGCAACATAGTGAAACACTGTCTCAAAAAAATAAATAAATAAATAAATACACTTAAAAGGCTTCCTGAGACTGGGTGCAGTGGCTCACACCTGTAATCCCAGCACTTTGGGAGGCCGAGGCTGGCAGATCATGAGGTCAGGAGATCGAGACCATCCTGACTAACATGGTGAAACCCTGTCTCTACTAAAAAAATACAAAAAAATTAGCTGGGCGTGGTGGCATGCTCCCATAGTCCCAGCTACTTGAGAGGCTGAGGCAAAAGAATCACTTGAACCCGGGAGGCTGAGGTGGCAGTGAGCCAAGATTGCATGCACACTCCAGCCTGGACGACCAAGCGAGACTCCATCTCAAAAAAAAAAAAAAAAAAAAAGGCTTTGCTCGGTGCCTGGTTCCTGGCACACAGCAGATGCTCAGTAAATCATTCTGTTTAATGGAGGTTGGTTTTGCTACTGGCCTCCACTCCTGGAAGCTCTTAGCTTGACAGCTAGGCCCTCAAGCGCTTCCTATGGGCGCCCAGGGTGCCCAGAATATGGCCGGACATTAGGCAGGGTCTCAACAAAGATTCTCTTCACAGCAGAGGTGCCCACAAGGAGGGCTCTGGTATCCCCTTAATGGGAGAGTGTTGGAGCTGCCTGGAGCAAGGAATCCTGCCTCTTCTAATATTTAGATCTTTGGGCCTGAGTTTCTTCATCTGCTAAAGGGAGATAACACCGTGTCCACCTCACATGGTTGTTGTGAAGTCTAAACGCTAATCCACATGAAATGTTTACCACAGCCTGAGGTACTAGTAAGGGCTCAATAACAAAATCATCTTTGTCATTCTCCAGTCAGCAAGGTCTTTCTGCTATCTGGCTGAAGTCTCTCCTGCTTTAGGTCTCTTTCTTCTGACTAGCATTGAAGCCAGGGTCTGAGTAGGAGGAGCCACGGCCGGCATCCTCCACCTCAGGGCACAAGGCCTAGGGGCCTGAGGCCGGGGGCTGGCTCCTAAGGAAGCTTGGCATGGAGACGGGCACTGTCGGCTTACCCGTGGGCTCCATTTCCTGGAGAAACTTGGCCTTGGACCAAGGAACGGGATCATGGGAAGTGTGGTAGGAACAGGCCCAGGGTGGCACAGAAGGGCAAAGGGGACAGCCTGCAGAGGGGAGCCCTGCCCCCAGCTCTGGAGTTAGGCTGGGAGGCAGGAGGCCAGGTCTCACCGGGGGCTTCTGGGCTGTGCATCTCTCGTCTTCCATGTCCACTTTTCTTCAGCATCAAGCTCCAGGCAGCTCTGGAGAGCATCTGGGGGTGTGGAGGTGTGGATGAGCTCTGCCCCCACATCACACTTGGCCTCCACACCTCAGGGCCAGATGAAGAAACCCTTTCCACTGGTATGGTAGTGGCGGGGGTCCCAGGGTTTCAAGGTTACCCTCATGCCCTTGACCCTTCTCATTTTGTCTGATATCCCTGGGGATCGGGGGGGTCAATGGGGGTCCTAGATCTTTGGAGCCCCTTCTTGGGACCTCAATTCACCATCTGAGAAGTGGGAGGAGGCCTAACTCTTGGGGCAGGGTCTCAGGCATGTGAGGCTGAGGGCTTGGGTTCTGGTGCCAGCCCCAGCTCAGTCTGGCCAGACTGGAGAACCCCCGCTCAGTTATTTGCTTTCCAGATGAAACTGGGTGGGGGTCCAGGTGGAGAGGGAGCAGGTCCTGAGGCTCTCTTCCCTGAAGGGCCATCTGCAGAGGCTCCTGCACCGGCAGGACAGATAGACTGTGGGCCCCACCCCTTCCCCCCTAATTGGGTGCCTACGTGCACACAGAGCCTGCTCTGCTGGATCTGGTGTGTTGGGGGGGGGGCACTGGGCTGAGCCAGTCTGGCTGAGCTCAGTCCACTACCCTCCCCCCGCCCCCCCCAAGACTCAGGGTTTGGCATCCATGGGAGTGGGGAGGGGCTTTAGAGGATGAGGACTTAACTGGGTCAGAGGGAGGGAGACACACACCTGGGGAGAAGAAGGGGGTCCCACATCTAGGGAGAGAGAGGGGCACTCAATAAATAGAGTGGCTGGGGGGGGTACACCACAGGTGATAAGTGGGAGGGGGCAGCCCGCACTTCTGGGAAAGAGGGGCTCCGGCCAGTGATTATGATGAGTGGGTGGGAGAGCCCCAAGTATCGAGAGAAGGAGGGTGTAATCTGTATTTGGGGAAAGAGATGGCACTCATATGCAAAGGATAACTCCCAAGGAGTCCTCAACTCTGACCTGCAAGAAGCCCCCCTATGACAGGGACCACTCGGGGCATGACCCGCCGGTGAGGGCAGGAGACCGAGCCGAGACCTCAACCCGCGCAGGCTTGGGTAACCGGGTCCTCCCCCAACTCACTCACCTCGCCGGCTCCGGCTCCGCAGCAGGAATGCGACCTGGGTCTGCCCAGCCAGCAACTGAGAACCCGCTCCGGAGGGACCTGAGTGCGGGCGCCCGCCCCTGGCCCGCCCCACAGCTTTTCCCAGGGCCGCCCCCGCGTGGGAACGTCCTGCTTCGGCCGGGAGTGGGAGCGCCCAGCCCGCGTCCCTGGGGGCACCCCGGCCCACAGCGTTGGGGGAAGGACTGCAGAGCAACTCCTGAATCAGTGTCCCTACCCCTGGGGGTCCTGCCTCTGGAGACCCTCTGCAGACAGTAGTCACATGAGCAGGGTGTCCCTGCCTCCTCCACCCACCCCTCCTTGCTGTTTCTCCCACCTGGGATGTTCTCTTCAGGCCTTTGCAGACTCAAATCTTGCCAACCTTTCAGCCAGGCGCAAGGCCTCCTACTCCAGAAGCATGTATTAGGCAGGTAGCGGTGGCTTACACCACGGAGCACTTTGGGAGGCAGAGGCGGGTGGATCACCTGAGGTCAGGAGTTTGAGACCAGCCTGGCCAGAATGGTGAAACTCCATCTCTACTAAAAATACAAAAGTTGGCAGGGCGCAGTGGCTTACGCCTGTAATCCCAGCAATTTGGGAGGCTGAGGTGGGCAGATCAGGAGGTCAGGAGTTTGAACGTGGTGAAACCTCATCTCTACTAAAAATACAAAAAATTAGCCAGGCATGGTGGCAGGTGCCTGTAATCCCAGCTACGCGGGAGGCTGAGGCAGGAGAATCGCTTGAGCCTGGGAGGCAGAGGTTGCGGTGAGCTGAGATGGAGCCACTGCCCTCCAGCCTGGGCAAAGTGAGACTCTGTCTCAAAAAAAAAAAAAAAAAAGAAGCAGAAGAAGAGGCGGAAGAAGCATCTATTAATATTTCAAGCACCTGGGAGCTGGCCTACCTCTACCTTGCCCCCTGCACCCAGTGACAGGTGGTGAAAAAGCCTCTCTCTGGGGTTTTAATCTTAGCTATGTGACTTTCAACAAATGGCCTAACCTCTCTGAGCTCCTGTTACCTTTCCTGTAAAAGGAAGCTAATAATAATTCCTACTTCACAAGCTGTGGTAAAGACTGTCAGTTAATAGACAAGCCTCGGCCGAGACCCACCATTGCACTCCAGCCTGGGCAACAAGAGCAAAAATTCCATCTCAAAATAACCACAAAAGAACAACAACAGAAGAGAGGCCATCTCAGCCAGCGTTGTATGGTTAAAGGGGAGGCTGGATGGAGGGAGAGGTGGGCTGGACCGCCAAAAAGGAACTATAGGCCGTGGTGAGGAGCTTGGATTTTATTCTAAAGAAGGTGATTAACTGGCATGGTGGCACACCCCTGTAGTCCCAGCTACTCAGTAGGCTGGGGTGGGAGGCGGAGGTTGCAGTGAGCTGAGATTGCACCACTGCACTCCAACTTGGGCAACAGAGTGAGACCCTGTCTCAATAAATAATAAATAAATAAATAAATAAAATAGGGCCAGGCATGGTGGCTCACACCTGTAATCCCAGCACTTTGGGAGGACCAGGCAGGCAGAGCAGGAGATGGAGACCATCCTGACCAACTTGGTGCAACCCCATCTCCACTAAAAATACAAAAAATTAGCTGGGCATGGTGGTAGGCGCTTGTGGTCCCAGCTACTCGGGAGGCTGAGGCAAGAGAATCTTTTGAACCAGGGAGGCAAAGGTTGCAGTGAGCCGAGATTGCGCCACTGCACTCCAGCCTGCGTGACAGTGCAAGACTCTGCTCAAAAAAATAAAAATAAATAAAATAAAATAAAAAGAAGATGGGAGGCAATCAAAGTTAAGAAGAGGAGTGATATGTTCCAATGAAGCAGAGCATGAGTTCAGTAAATGTGGCCCGGGACTGTTAGTAAACGGATGGCGGACCAATGGGTGAGGGCTGGAGGTCCCCTCGGTGGCCTGAAGACCAAAGCTTTCCAGGTCTCCTGGCTCTGTGCCCGTGAGGTATGCCCAGCCCCCATGCCTTCCATCAGGGTTCCTATAGGCTAGTGAGGCCATAGGGGCCTGCTCCAGACAGCTGCTAAGGGGAGGGGCTGGCCAGGCACGGTGGCTCATCCAGATCACTTGAGGTCAGAAGTTCGAGACTAGCCTGGCCAACATGGTGAAAACCCATCTCTACTAAAAATACAAAAATTAGCCAGGCATGGTGGCGGGCACCTGCAATCCCAGCTACTCAGGAGACTGAGGCAGGAAAATCGCTTGAACGAGGTGGAGGTTACAGTGAGCTGAGGTCGCACCACTGCACTCCAGCCTAAGCCACAGAGTGAGACTTCATCTCAAAAAATAAAAAATATCTGGCCGGGCGCGGTGGCTCAAGCCTGTAATCCCAGCACTTTGGGAGGCCGAGGTGGGCGGATCACGAGGTCAAGAGATCGAGATCATCCTGGCCAACATGGTGAAACCCTGTCTCTACTAAAAATACAAACATTAATGGGCCGTGGTGGCACACGCCTGTGGTCCCAGCTACTCAGGAGGCTGAGGTGGAAGAATTGCTTGAACCCAGGAGGTAGAGGTTGCAGTGAGCCGAGATTTCGCCACTGCACTCCAGCCTGGCAACACAGCAAAACTGTGTCTCCAAAAAATAAATAAATAAAAATAAAATAAAAAAGAACCACCCCTTACCTCTTAGTCGCTGACCAGGGTGTTCTCTAGAGTAGTCCTATGAACAGAGGACAGGGGAAGACACTCCTTCAAGAACCTGGAGGAGAGCGTGCCTTGTCTTTTTTTTTCTCTCTCTCTCTTTTTAAGCTTTGTAGAGACAGGGTCTCGCTGTGTTGCCCAGGATGGTCTTGAACTCCCGAGCTCAAGAGATCCTTCCGACTTGTTCTCCCAAAGTGCTGGGATTATATGTGTGAGCCACCACGCCAGACCTAAGGTCATGAGTCTTGCCAGACCTTTTTCAGGACGGCTGGGAGGGTGGTGGGTGCACTGGAGTGAGTGGCCTGTGTCTATGCATGGCTCTACTGCAGCCACTCTGAGTGACCAAGTGGCACCACTTGTGGGCCTCATTTTCCCCATGTGTCCTTAGTTTCATAGAGCCTCCCAAGGGAAGGCATCTGGGGACGGCAACCCTCTGTTCCTCCCTGTGCTCTTCCGCCCCTGCCTCTATGGGAACTTCAGGCTCCTGAATTTGAGTGATGCTGTGATAAGGAACATCTGTGGGGAAAGCCCCACCCCCCGGGCTGAGGGCCATGGGGTGGAGGCAGGCCCTGAGCGGCTCGCAGGAACTCTAGCCTGCAGAGCGATCGTGGAGCCTCCTTTCGACATCCTGAACCTGGCAAGAGACGAACTGTCCCTTAAGGCTGGCCACTCGGGGTCCCGGAGCCAAGGAATAAGGGTCTTCTCCTGGAACCGTGGTGCGTCCAATGGTGGAGGGGGCTCTGGACAGGGGATTTAAGGCCACTCCTCAGGATAGGCCCGACATGCGAGAGCTCTGGGGTGGGACAGGCTGAGACCTGCCAACAGCAGGGATGGCAGCTCGCGCTCACTCCGTCGGCTCCATGGAGCCCCTAGATTCTGCCTGGAAGCAAAGACCTGAGCCACAGCCTCAGCATCGCCCCGCCAGCAGGACCCCAACCGCCTCAGACTCCCAGAGTGCTAGGATTACAGACATGAGCCACCGCACCTGGGCTATTGGTGCAATTGTTAATCATACTTTTGAAAAACGTCAAGCCAGGCATAGTGGGATGTGCCTGTAGCTACTCAGGAGGCCGAGGTGCTTGAACCGAGGAGTTTGAGCCCAACCTGGATAACATAGCAAGAAACTGTTTCTAAAAAATAAAAAATTTCACCAGGTGTGGTGGCTCGCGCCTGTAATCCCAGCACTTTGGGAGGCTGAGGCAGGTGGATCATGAAGTCAGGAGTTCAAGACCAGCCTGGCCAAGATGGTGAAACCTGGTCTCTACTAAAAATACAAAAAAAAATTAGCTGGGCGTGGTGGCGGACGCCTGTAATCCCAGCTACTCAGGAGGCTGAGGCAGAGAATTGCTTGAACCCGGGAGGCGGAGACTGCAGTGAGCTGAGATTGTGCCACTGCACTCCAGCCTAGGCAACAGAGCGAGTCTCTGTCTCAAAAAATAAAAATAAAAAATAGCCAGCCACGGTGGCTCATGCCTGTAATCCCAGCACTTTGGGAGGCTGAGGTGGGCAGATCACCTGAGGTCAGGAGCTCGCGAGACCAGCCTGGCCAACATGGTGAAACCCCGTCTTTAAAAATTTTTAAATTAAAATTTAAAAAATAGCCAGGCGCGGTGGCTCAAGCCTGTAATCCCAGCACTTTGGGAGGCCGAGGCGGGTGGATCACGAGGTCAAGAGATAGAGACCATCCTGGTCAATATGGTGAAACCCCGTCTCTACTAAAAAAATACAAAAAAAAATTAGCTGAGCATGGTGGCGCTTGCCTGTAATCCCAGCTACTCAGGAGGCTGAGGCAGAAGAATTGCCTGAACCCAGGAGG